CCCTGCTCCAACCCTGCTCCAACCCTGCTCCAACCCTGCTTCAACCCTGCTTCAACCCTGCTTCAACCCTGCTTCAACCCTGCTTCAACCCTTCATCAAGCCTGAGATTTGTCTGGTATGAATAGGCCAATTGGTAGCTTTTGCACTGACCCTGCCTAAAATTCATTGCACATTGGGGTCCTTTTCCTGCCAAGAGTACCCTGTACGATAGTAATGACATTAAATGTATACCCGAGCACGCCAGTGCATTACTATTCATATGGAAAGAACAACCAAACCCTCTTAATGAAATACGGTGTGCATATATGTACGTGTTACACAGTACATGCTGCCCAGTTCATCTGAAACGAAAATAAATTATGCATAACGTGTATGTGCATACTGTACACAGCAAACAAACCACAGACCAATGAATTAGCGCAAAATAGATTAATCCTGACAGTCTTGGGCAGTTCGGGCATCGTTGGCGGGGCAGATAACGCCAACTAATTAGGTCCGGCCTCGAGGCTCGTGTAACGTACATGTATGCATGCTTGTGCAGGCAGTAATGCCTCACGCTCCCCCCGTGCTCCTTCGGAACGGGGACAGAGGAAGAAGAGGGAAAAGGTTAGTTGGCAGTGGCAGATATTGGCCATGGCATTTACATCCCACTGTCAAAAGCTGTAGAGTCAAAGGGGAGGGGGGGACGATTCAGACGAGGGCTCTGCCTCAAGTTTTTAACAAGATGACAATTGCTACAGCGTACATATCGGTATCAGTACATGGGTAGTGATGTGAGTCCAACGCGGCGAACATTGCAAGTGCTTTACCTTGCTTAATGTAAAATCTACATGTATACTAAAGGTACTGTACATTCTATGGTCAGAAATTAATCAAAATAAATACACCGGTACCCTGCATGCATGCACATGTACAGGCCCTGTACGTGTACCCGTACTGGTACAAAACTGGTCATATACTACAATGTATGTAATGCACAAGTCCTACCGGTACAGTGGCGTGGCACTTCAACCAGTGCACAGAGTTCAATGGTACATGTACATGCTGTACACATGAACGTGTTTTGTACATTTTGATCAGCCTGCATGTATTCCAGCAGTCCTTGTAGAAAAGTCCATGCCCACAGCTTAATATGAACACTCTACAGATTCTCCAAATCAAGTGTGCAAGTAATTCTGTTCAGATTGATGAAATTTGGCTCTTTCTGGATAGCACATACACATGTACCGGTACATGTGCACCTACAAGAGCTCTGAGTGAGAAATACATGTACATGTACATACTTATAAGCATAAAAAACTACATAACATGTACATGTACATGTATGTGCATACATGTACATGTACATACTTATAAGCATAAAAAACTACATAACATGTACATGTACATGTATGTGCATACATGTACATGTACATACTTATAAGCATAAAAAACTACATAACATGTACATGTACATGTATGTGCAAACATGTGCATACATGTGCAGACCTGCATTATCTCACAAGACTACATGTACATTGTACAGCAGGCATACTGCAGAATGGCCAGCACACACATGCCACGGCATACGGAAGTAACGAAACGTGCACATGCCTAATTTTCACCAGAATGTGCACAAAAATCTACAGTGGAACGATGAAGCGGCCCGTGCTTGGGCATGAAAACACAAGTCCGAGATGGAAAAATCCCCAATGCGATTTCTGCTTCCTGCTTGCTAATACGTACAGTTTGTACACGTACGGACATCCAGCAGGGAGCAGGCCTACAGAATGGAGACGAGGAGTCCACGCACCTACAGTGTGCATGCACATGTAGTGAGGAATGCAACGTATTGATGGCAAAGACCTCTGTACTGATGACGCCACACTTTGTTTACATGTGTCCTTTACTATGGAACTCTGTGGACAGTGGGCCCCCACTGGCTTCAGTCCCACTTCACAGGAAAGTGAACATGTGAACAAAGTGTGACATCATCAACGGGTCATTAGAGTGCATGCACGGCAGAACAAGTGCAAATGTGCATATTTACATGTAATGCATCTGCCCAGTGTCCTAACACTTTGTGTGGATACAAGGTCATTCACATCACCTGTATTGGATTTCACACTATAAACAAGGCCGACTCTGAAACAAACAATTGATGTTGCTGACACCTTAAACTGGAAACTTATGGCATGTATGGCTATGTGTAATATGACTCGCGTCAAATTTTGCTAAATCATCATGAAATACACTATACATGGGATGTATGTCAGTGTAGAATAGAATGCCATCGGTGCACTACTCCGCATGATTCATTTTTTGTCCTCATGCCATGTTTTCCTCGAGGCCAGAAAGTCACAGGCCACTGGTGTCACTGCGTACTGCCAGCAGGCCAACGAAGGTCATCTCTTAAAAAAAACTGAGGACTAAAGGTCACGCAGTCAATACGCCCTTTGATCCCCATTCAAGCCAGCCAGGGGGAGCCATTATCAACGGCGGCGGGATTAAGTGGGTAATCAATGCAACGTGTGCTCTTGCGCCACAGTGTGAGGAATGGTGGCACGTTCCATGGATCAGTGACGGCATGTTCAATTGTGTGGCACATACAATGTCGGGTGCCAAGCACTTCACACTACAGGGAAATAAATGTGGGCCTGATTTGAATGTAACTGTACATGTACACGTATGTATGCTGTTGGGCGGCAAATAGGGCATTTTCAAAATGACTGGATTTGGCTTAGACTTAGGCTTCGCTGGTCCCATCCATTTTGAAGCAGCCTTCGAAACCAAAGGTTCAAACTCTGACAGGAAACAGCGAAACCGAAGTCTAAGCCGAATCCAGTCATTTCGAAAACACCCTTTATATACATGTACATGTACGTACTAACATTCCAAACGGTTCTTTCCAGCATAATGAATGCCTGTGATTTTGCCTAGATAGCAAACACACATCATGTACGAGTACATGTGCTACATTGAAAAGACCGCTTGGCAACCAAGCACTGTTATCTGTACCATGCATTTGTTTAACAATTCCCCTAGATTTAATCAACCCTTTTCTATCAAAGTCGGCCATCGTTTGCCTACCAGTGGTCGGCTAACTGTGGCTGGCCAACTAGTTACAGGTCAAAGAACAATTCACAAAGCGAGTTACATGTACATGTAACTCCAGAAGATCTCAGAACTTTGATCTTTGATTAGTTATTACAAAAATAACACTTCCAGCATGCAATATATATGATTTAGGCACTCTAAATATTTTACATAGTTTCTAGTCCACCTCCACCTCCTTTTCTTCATCAGTTTTCTTTTTTAAACGTGCAACGTAATTTTTTATTTATTTTGTGTTTCTAACAGATATTGGTATCTTTTTGAGACAACTGATGATATGTCTCAACTATTTTGCCTACAATGCCAAAGTATCAGAAAAACAGCTAAGTTACGGAATGTCATCTTTGAAAAATAGTCCCCTCTTCCAGTTATTTTTTTAGGAAAATGAACACAGGCCATACTTTCTCCATCCTCAGCCTACAAGGTCCTCCAAACTCAGTCTCTGCCCTTTTTCCCAGAGGTGTTCACTTCAGCTGATTTAGAAATGTCATGTGGATCGTCAAAGGACATTTCTGCAGTTGCTGAGCTTGAGCACAAAACTACCACCTACAGGAATACCAGCACATTAATAATCGCATGGATCGTGACAAAACAATCACGAATTAAATGCGATGATGGGGCCAAACATTGCAGGGAAAATGAATGACAGGCATCCAACCTGCCACCTCACGCTGTAACCACTAGGCTATGTGATGACTCATTCTATGAGGGGAATTTAAGAACATGCATGGTACCCTATGGTATCAGTGCACTGGATGTACATGTACTACAAGAAATCTAAACCCTTTGTCCAAAACTTAACACCTGTACAATCAAATAACAGTACACTGTAGGCACAAGAAATCAACATGATCAGGCTTAGCAGACCTAGGATCTATTGTGAGGGGAGGGGGCTCGGACCACAATTTACAGGTATCCCATATATAGCTAATGATGCTCAACTTAGCTCAAGAACCCTTTTTTCCCTTCTCCCACATACCGCAGGAGACTGGGATTTACGGCTAGGCCCTTTATGTGTATAGTGCGGTAGTTCATGTACCAGTATCTTCGTTTTTCAGAAAGAAATACAAACCAAAGCACAAAATAAGACACGGGGGAGGGGGGACAGAGCCCATGGCCCCCCTTGATCCTTGGTGCGCCATCGATGATACATGTGATGAGCGCAACCAGTAAATATGCGCGATCACTCGACCTCTAGACTCTGTGCGCGCGTGATCGGTAACGTTGAATCTTCATTCTTAGTTTTCCTACCCTGCTTAATGTACGATTTGTTGATACACGTAATTCTGCCATCAGTCACTTGCCTGTTCTTTCTCATTCACAGTTGTAAAAAGACTGCTTCATGAAGGGGAAGTGAGGAGATTTCATGTTGGCTAGAATTGCCCAATGGTGCAGAGTGAGCAATTGATTGGGCAGATTGTCCGATCATGCCCAACATGCCCACTTAGTGACTTACCACGCTCAAACAGCATCAACAGTTAACAATTAGAACTGTACATCATTTAACCAAATAAGCACGTTCTTCCATTTCACAGAAAAGATAACTGTGTTAATGTTAAGGACGTTATACAGGTTTCTACACACTGCGGTAGGCCTGCTGCAGTATTTTTTAAAAAGAGTCCTGGCCCTGGGTTTATTCGTACATTTGTATTCACCACGATCGATCGCATCAACCACTGGAAGATCATCAACAGAATTAGGCCTATGTAAACACCGGAAATGCCCTCGAATCAGGATGGCATGATTGCCGCAGGGAAAGCAGAGGCAGAACCTTAGAGTATTTGGATCCTTACCAACACGCCAAGGTTGAAAATAATTCCCACATTCAGCTCAAAATCGCACTTCTTTTTCGACCTCATCATTGATCCGCCAAACGTGTGCACTGTACTCGTCAGATGAGGGAGTATTTTTTATGCACTTAATGACGTCATTGAAGGCCGTCTATAAAAACACTGACAAAAGATGGCGCTATTGAAAACAACTTGAGGGTACCGGGTGCATGCACTGTCAGATAATCCAAGGCAAATTCTCCGCCGGGTAGAGGCGCTTAAAAAATTTCTTTTGAAAAAAGGGGTTTGTGTGGTCCAAGAAATTGTGGGATTGTGTAAATATGGCTCAGGATCAACTTCCTAGATTAAGGGGCTTCCATCCGAGGGCAAAGCAGACAAAAATGCTTTTAAAAATTTGTCCAAAGAACCTCAGATGCACAAAGTGGAGGGATGTCACTGAAAAATGGGTACTTACAGACTTTGGAACGTTCACGGGGGGGGGTTGTGGATAATTACAATCTAATCGGTAAATTACTAAAATTTGAAAATCAATTGAAATATAAAGGACCTGACAACACACCTTTTTTATTTGAGAGGCCTCGGGTACTTCAGTTGCCGGCATGTGGGCTCCAAACTTTGTTGAAGTTACAATGTTTTCAATCGGGCCTAAATTAGTTCAGTACACCCAGTCTGAGGCCAGAGACATCTCTGGTGCTTTTTTTTGGATTCGGGATTCCTTAACATTCCTCTGAGGACACAACATCTTTACACAGAAGTATTGCAACACACTTATATTCTTTTCATTCGCGTACCGCGTATCACACTGACAGCGTGACTTATACGGATTGGAAAAAAAAATCCGGCAAAAGGAAGGCTGTGGTATGTTGCTACGAATCAACATTGCTGATTCTGACAACCATGCACAGAGAAATCCACCGAGCTCGCGAGAAGCGACAGTTCACCGTTCGTCCGTGTACCGTAATCAACTCGTGCCAACGAGTGGGAGAATGCCGGCAGCATGAAGGGAAAGAGAGTACCAAAAGCAAATAAGAAGTAATCGTCGGTGTTCCTTGCACTTAATGAAAACGCCCGATGTGGGGCTCGAACCCACGACCCTGGGATTAAGAGTCCCATGCTCTACCGACTGAGCTAACCGGGCTTTCGAAGTACCAAAAACAAACAAGAAGTAATATCATCGGTGTTCCTTGCACTTAATGAAAACGCCCGATGTGGGGCTTAGCGCACCTCAAAGTCCTAGTTCAAATGCCACCCTGGAAAGTGGGTAACTCCCTCTGGGCATGAGGGGTTCGACCTCTCGACCAAGAGGGATATATACTGATCGATGGCTTACTCTATACAAGCCATACATTACCCAAGCTTGGCAGCCCCGGCCCATTGCGTATTCCGTATTCATCAGATACTTTGCAACACCCGAATAAATCTGGCCTCACTTCGTGGGACAGAACATTCAATCTCTCACCACATGAAATTATTCTTACTGAGCACTCATAACCTGTCATCGTTTGTATACTGTAACCCGGTGTGGCAACCCTGTGGAGGTTCTTTCCCGCGGACAGGTGTCAGAAACTTAAACGCGTTTGTTTATGTACTTTTCAAAGTCACGATTGCACTGTCGAGTGATACAATAAGCCTTTTGCGAGTTAAATTCGAATAAACTCTGGTAAACTGAGTTCTTTAAATTCACCTGAACACAACAATTGGAATTCTCCATACTAAAGCCACTGTTGCTATACCTCGTGATTTCGGGCAAGCTTTTCCTTAGTTACATAAGAGACGCTTTGCAACAATACACTGTTCTCAATGGAAAAGAAGGGCACAAAGGTCCAGAAATGGTGGTCGCTAAGCAAAAGCTTGCCCCCCCCCCCGAATCACGAAGTATAGCAACAGTGTCTTCAGTCTGGGGATTCAAATTGTTATGTTTATGTGCAATCAGATAACTCAGTGTACCAGATTTTATTCAAATTTAACCCGCAAATGGCTTAACTTCGGTGAGACCTTACTAATATGGTTCTAGCAAAAAGTTGTTGTTGTTTTTATTGCAGTAAAAATGTGTCATACGACGTAACGGTCGGGTAGACTATCGCTTGTTCGTGCTTCGTCAACGCCATGAGGCAACTCGTAGACCGAATAAACCGTCCTTGCAACTAAGGCCGTGTCCGAAACGGGCTTCCAGAGCTACGGCTAGGTCTATTGTCTACGCGTCTCCACGCATTTCCAATGGAAAGAAGACCTAGACCTAGCTCTAGACAAAAGATTCGGATGCAGCCTTACTTTGAGAAATAACCCAAATGTCGCCCTCTACAGACCTCTTCGTTACTTTGTGCAAGAAACAGTCACCGTTAATTGCTTTTGCTGCCTGAAGGCAATTTATTAAAAAAAGGAAATATTTTTTTCCACGTCCTTGTCGAAGCGCCAACCAAACACGAGGGAAAGTCGCCCGATGTGGGGCTCGAACCCACGACCCTGGAATTAAGAGTCCCATGCTCTACCGACTGAGCTAACCGGGCTTGCGCTGTAGTGACACTGCAACATAGCTCCTGTGCAAGCGCCTTTACGAATTTGAATTGAAAGTGCATGTACGTGCAAACTGTACCATCCGACAGGGGACTTAAAAGCGGAGGTGACCAAATATAACGACAAGGTCTCTTCTAAATCATGCCATTTGTTTCAGGATACCAGACACTCTTTAGATTTTGGAGTGTTTTCGCCCGTAAAGCATACGCTCTTCGTTCAAAGAGCTTTCGATGTACTGTACAAACGGGGCTTGGCCACACTATACACAAACTGTGTTTAGCAATTTAACACTTTCTCACTGTCAGTTTGCAAATACGTTCAGATGCGAAACATTTCCAGGGTATAGGAACCCATTTGACAATTTTACATAAGACGTACGTTTACGAAAGAGACAGGGTTGAGAACTTGATCAACAAAGTGATAGCAAGACTTTCCTGAATGCACTTTCATTCAATTGTGGTATTGTTCCGGGACACAATTTCCCAAAGCAAAATGAAGAGGAAGGAAACGACGACTGTCTACTAGATCACGACATCCAGGCAAAATCGACCGAGGATGGATGGAGTGAATAAACTACAAGAAACGTGTCGGGTCTCAGACTGTGACCCCGCGTGTACTATATGATACGTCGAATGATATAAAGGCTACAACGTTAAACTATTCACCTCATCCCCATCACACGAGGAACGAGACAGATCGCGGCGACCCTCGACCGTCGGGAGACCTCCTGGGTAGCTGGTGGCAGCGCTATCACAATGAAGGCCTCGCTCAGCTCTAGGAATAATGTTTAGATTATACATCTTGGGGGGGGGGCTGCCGATGAAGGCCAGCAAACTACCAGTTCTGAATCGCGTGGTTATGTTCAAGTTCCCCGTGACAAAATTGCCTCTCGCCAAAGCAGCGTGCGCGCACAACCGATTTCCAATCAGTGCGAGGCATGCGTATCGCTCAACTAACAATTTTTTTCTTCTTCAAGGGCATGTTCAGACTGAACTAATGCTCGCGGCAGGGCGACATGATAACCCGGCTTTCTATGCTGATGACAGGTGTGACATTTCCCCCCCCTTGCGTGCCATGAGCAACCCCTCCCGCTTTAGACCGCGGTTTGTTTAGACGAAACTGTCGGTATTTACTGTTTTTAGGCAACACCGATCCATCCCACGGGCCGGCCCCCAGGATTGGTGGAGAGGTTTCAGCAGCTGATATCGACGTGAGTGATGTCATGCCCAGAGCGATCCTGACTACGGAATTAATGAGTATACGGGGGCGGGGGGGAAAAATGATGTACGAGTCCTGATCGCCGCGCATGACAGGGATGAAATAATGAGCAGTGGCTGCTGGCCTAGTATTTCTACTCATAAACTATATGTTCAAAAAGGAGGGTTTTTGATATAGGTGGCGTGTGGACGATACTACAAGCGCGTCGTATATCGGCGCAGAGAATTTAGCGTCATGTCATGGAAGCAAATGGAAGTGAACCAGCAACCCGGCAACATCATCAACTGTAGTATAGCTATACAGAAGTAGCTCCATAGCTTGAGCTCTGTGAAAGCACCCAGCACTGAAAAAGCAGCACAGCATCATACACCACCAGCAACAGGATTAGCTGATGATTCTCTTCGAACAGTGACATTTTGCCATTAAAAAAAAAAGTATATCGAAAGTGCAGACGCTTTAGAAATATAGCACCTTCCTGAAGGAAGGTAACGAGTCTTTTATGGATGAGGGACGATTGTTAGTCGGACGAGAAACAAAACCCCTATTTGCCCCCGCCTGACGGCAGGTGCCACTGGTATTGTTGATATGCGACACACCGTGTAGGGCCTATCAGTGCTACCGACTCTCCTTCGATAAGCTTAGGACTGACTGATTGTCACGCTAACATCTCAGTTTTTCACGAAACAGTGACAGCTGACAATTTTGTGAGTGTGGAACTAAACATGAAGTCATACAGTCCGTGACTTTTCTTTGCTAGTTCTCACCCTCTGCTAACACCAAAATTTTTTACCGTTTTCACGAAGAGGCAAATTTCTGGATGGAGAGTAAAACCTATAAGTTTCGAGAAAATTGCATTTGAAGTTGGTCTCTTTTTCCAGCGCTTATTTTCCCGGTATCTAGCATGTCTTTGACTTCACCAATTCCTCTGTATGAAAGAGCGGATCTTAAATGACATGAAACTGAAGTCGAATTCGCCTCTTCGTGAAAACGGCGAAACGAGTTTGCCCATTAATTAGCCCTTTATTGCCAACGCTATTCCTAAGGGAGACAAATTCGCCTCTTTGTGAAAACGCCGAAACGAGTTTGCCCATTAATTAGCCCTTTATTGCCAACGCTATTCCTAAGGGAGACAAATTTGCCTCTGGGTGATAACGCAAAATACGGTTCAGTTGAAATTTGCCCCAGGTAGCTCATCGTGATTTGGCTGATTAATTTTTAAAAAGAATCATGATTTGGGGCCAAATTATGTTGGT